GCCAAGGGTGCGGGGAACTGTTTCCCCGTCAGTTTTTAAATTAAGGTGGGAAGGAGAAGCCATAGCTGCAGCGATGGGCTTTGAGAAAGGCAGCCCTGGGCACTGCCTCGGGCTGTGCTGGCTGCACATGAGGCCTGGCCAGAGGCGCTTTGGGATCCAGGAGCCCAGCAGAACGTCTGGCTGGTGCAGTGGATGCAGGGCTGGTGCCTGGCCAGGACTTGTTGGTTGCCAACTGTGCTGGCTGTTGTCTGCCACTCTGGAGGAGGAGGGGGCTTCTGGGTGCAGCTGTGTGTGGGAGGCCTGTGTGGATTTGGCCACACAACCTTGCCTGGTCCTACCTGGAGATACCTGCCCCCCACCCCTGAGATGACGGAGGTGTGGGCACTGCCTGGTGCATGGCCAGCTGCCACTACCCTGCCTGCTCCCATTCCTTCACAGGAGTGGGTGGGTGAGCGGTGCCTAAAGTCCCTGTGTGAGGACAGCAACGATCTGCAGGACCCAGTTTTGAGCAGCATCCAGGCTCAGCGGCTGATGCAGCTCATCTGCTACCCGCACCGGCTGCTGGACAGCGAAGAGGGTGAGAACCCGCAGCGGCAGAGGATCAAGCGCATCCTACAGGTGCGGTCCTGCTCAGTGCAGCAGGATGCTGCTGTGAGCTCTGTGGCTGAGCCATGTGACATGTTCGCCTTTAGGGCTTGGGCTGGGGTGGTCACCGGTCTAAAGCATGCGCACGTTTCAGAACCTGGACCAGTGGACAATGCGGCAGTCCTCGCTGGAGCTGCAGCTCATGATCAAGCAGACAGCCAACAACGTGAGTCCCTGTCAGGGCAGGTGGGTGACAGTGGGCTGGGTCCCCTGGGGCTGCCCATGTCTTAAGTGGCTGCTGCACAGGACTTAGGCAGGGCATGACTGACAGTGGGAGTATGGGCATGGTGCATAGAGAACAGGCCCTGCCAGGGGCTGCAGGCAAGGAGCTTTGCTTGCCAGATTTGTGCCCAGGCCACTGGATCAGCAGGCGCTTGGAAGGGAAGCACTGTTGCCCGTGGACTCACCCCTTTCCCTCAACAGGAGATGAACTCCCTGCTGGAGAACATTGCCAAGGCCACCATAGAGGTGTTCCAGCAGTCAGCAGAGACCAGCTCTGGCAGCTCCACGGGCAATGCAGCCGGCAGCCTGGGCAGCTCTGCCAGCACTGCGCCTGCCAGCACCAAGTCCAAGGCCATCCTCAGGTAGGGCTGCCCAGCCTAGTGCTGCCAGCAGGGCCCCCCTGGGGCTTCTGGATGGCAGTGGGAGCCACTTGCACTTCTTGTCCTGTGTCCAGCTCCCTGGAGAGGTCGGGTGTGTGGCTGGTGGCCCCTCTCATTGCCAAGTTGCCCACGTCGGTGCAGGGGCACGTGCTGAAAGCCGCAGGGGAGGAGCTGGAGAAGGGACAGCACCTGGGATCCTCATCCCGCAAGGAGCGGGATCGTCAGAAGCAGAAGAGGTGAGTGCTGGAAGGTGGGCAGGCAGTCCCCACTGCACTGTGCCGAGCTGCCTGGGGCAACCGCGCCTGCCAGCCCGCCCGTCTGCACGTCTTTCATGCTCACCTCCTTTCCAGCATGTCCCTGCTGAGCCAGCAACCCTTCCTGTCGCTGGTGCTGACATGCCTGAAGGGGCAGGATGAGCAGCGGGAAGGCCTTCTCACCTCACTCTACAGCCAGGTGCAGCAGGTAGGCACCTTCCAGCCCCTCAGGTGGGTGCAGCAGCAGGATAGCAGTCCCTGTGGATGTGCCCCAGGCAGGATGTGCCTGGCACAAAGACTTGGGCATTTAGGGTGGTGCAGGACACCCTGTCTCTCCCACCTGAGTGGGATATCGGCATAGACATCCCCTGGGCTTCCCCTGGCCCAGGATCCCAGTGAAAGGGAGTGGTGGGTGGGGGTGGGGGGGAAGCAAAGCCGTGGCAGTGGCTCCCTCTGAAGTGCCAGGCCCAGCTTGAAGTCCTGCCCTCTTCTGACCCTCCTAGATCATAGAGAAGTCAGGCTGGAAGGAACCTCCAGAGGTCCCATCCAGTCCCTGAGGCAGGATCCTTCCTGTCCAAACCAGCCCAGGCAAATCTATAACCTAACTCTTCATCAAACTACATGGTCAGCCCTGACACAGCACAGCACAGATGTAATACCCTACCTGCCACAGGGAAAGCAGGGGGACTGCGGCCGCCAGCTCCCTACTTCTATGAAAGGTTGTTAAAGCACGCTTGAGAGACCCCAGGTAGAGGTCGTGCCCCCACTGCAGAGGAAGGCAAAACCTCTCAGCCTGGACTAGTCTGACCAGGGGGGGAATTCCTTCTTGCCTTCAGATTGTCACGAACTGGCGGGAGGATCAGTACCAGGATGACTGCAAAGCCAAGCAGCTGATGCACGAGGCCCTGAAACTGCGACTGAACCTGGTAAGCAGCAGGTGAACGAGGGACCAGCAGGGCTGAGCTGTGAGGGGACAGGCAGGCAGTGAGTTGGGGGAGGAAAGGCCTTCTTCCCAGGAGCAAGGATATGTGTGTGGGGAGGGTGTGCAGTGGAGACTTCTGGGCATGTGAGGGGAGGGGTCCTAGCCCAGCCTGCTTCCTCCTTTGATGCTGGAGGGGTCTCCCAGTGGATCTGACAGACCCTTCTGTCCCAGGTGGGGGGCATGTTTGACACGGTTCAGCGCAGCACGCAGCAGACAACAGAGTGGGCCGTGCTCCTCCTTGACATCATTAGCAGTGGCACTGTGGACATGCAGTCAAACAAGTAAGTGTCTCCAGGGCCAGTGAATGCAGGGCACCACCTGCCATGGTCCTGTCCCTAGGAGATGCATGCAGATCCCTGCTGCCAGAGCCCTGGGAGACCACCATGCAGGGGGAAGTAGCATGTGGGTGTTGGGATGGCCATGTGGCTGGCAGCCTCCCCAGGCACAGCCAGGGCCATCCCCATCCCAAGGCTGTGGGGAGCCCTGAGCTCATCACATGGCCAGAGGGCAGCCAACCTGCAGGACTGATGTCAGAGCTGGAGCCTGCAGGGACGAAGCAGTGAGCAGAGCCCAGGGAAGCACTGGAGAGGGGTTGGAGGATGAGTAACAGTGAGGCACTGCAGGGCCTTTCCTCTGCAGCTCTCATGTCCAGGGGTGCTGGGGGTGTCTGTGCTGAACCTGGGCCTTTGTCCAACCCCCAGCGAGCTCTTCACCACGGTGCTGGACATGCTGAGCGTCCTCATTAACGGCACCCTGGCGGCAGACATGTCCAGCATCTCCCAGGGCAGCATGGAAGAGAACAAGCGGGCGTACATGAACCTGGTCAAGAAACTCCGGGTGAGGAAGCCAGGCCTGTATCAGTGTGGCGGGTGGGGCAGGGGGCACAGCCCTGTTGAGTGGGGGGCGCTGAAGAGCGTGATTGGCATGGTGGTGGGAGCATTGCAGGGTATTGTGCAGCGCTGTCCAAATGGTTGTTGAAGCCCCTGTATCTCTGCAGAAGGAGCTGGGGGACCGGCAGTCCGACAGCTTGGAGAAGGTGCGGCAGCTGCTCCCCCTGCCCAAGCAGACGCGTGATGTCATCACATGTGAGCCGCAGGGTTCCCTCATTGATACCAAGGGCAACAAGATCGCCGGGTTTGACTCCATCTTCAAGAAGGAGGTCAGTGGTTGCGCCAGGGGCCCACACTGCTGCCTGGAGGGTTGTTCCCTGTGCCCCGTGCTGATGGTGCTGTGGCCTGGGCTGGCTGGCACTAGGAAACTGTGTGCTGTGACCATGCCAGGAAAGGGCAAGGTTGGCACCTGCTTGAGGGCTCTCAGGTGCAGCCTGTGGGCTCTCATGGATCCTCCTCTTCTCTTGGCAGGGCTTGCAGGTCTCCACAAAGCAGAAGATTTCCCCCTGGGACCTGTTTGAGGGCCTGAAGCACTCAGCTCCCCTGTCCTGGGGTTGGTTTGGCACCGTGCGGGTAGATCGCAAGGTGTCCAGGTTTGAGGAGCAGCAGAGGCTCCTGCTGTATCACACACACCTGAAGCCCAAGCCCCGCAGCTACTACCTAGAGCCACTGCCACTGCCCCCTGAGGAGGAGGAGCCCCCCACACCCGTGACTCTGGAGCCAGAGAAGAAGGCCGTTGAGCCAGTTAAAGCCGACAAAGCCAGCTCCAATCCTGCTGCCTCCACAGAGGAGCGTAAGAAGAAACAGAAAAGCAAAAAGCGCAACCAATCTGCTAACAAAAGCGAGGTACCATGCCCTGTCCCTGGAGCAGGGAGCCATGCCTTCCCTTTCCAAGAGCTGGGTTGCTTCTGCCTTCCTGGGGCTGGAAGCTCCCCAGGTTCACAGCACCCGCCCCCATCCCTGCTGGAGAGGAGCCTGCAGCCGTGCTGAGCAGTGCTTGGCCCAGCCTGGCCCGGCCCTTAAGTCCCGGAGGCCCCTCACCCCCTTCCTTCCTTCCTTCCACAGGATTTCATGCTGGGCCCCGGGCGGGTCCCCTATGGCGTTGGCATGCCCACTGACCTCCTGCACCACCAGGCAGGGAGCTCCATGTCCCGACTTGCCTACGGGCAGTCACCAGTGGGGCTCTACGCCCAGAACCAGCCTCTGCCAGCGGGTAGGTGGACCTGGATCCCTTCTGCCTTGTGCTCTTCCATGTCTGACGCCTGCTCCATCTTGCTGGGGCTGCAGGGAACACAGTCCCCTTGGGGCAGGGTGTGTCTGCCAGGATTAGCGCGGCAGGCTCCTGCAGTGAGATTGTCCCATTGCAGGGGGCCCTCGGCTGGACACCTCCTACCGGCCGGTGCGGATGCCCCTGGGGAAGCTGGTGCAGAGCCGGACCTCATACAGCGCAGTGCTGCCCTCTGCCATGGGCAGCATGATGGGGATTGACCCTTCCTACAAGCCAACAGCTTATAGGCAGCAGCCGCCAGTGCCCCAGGGGCAGCTGCTGCGCCAACAGCTCCAAGCCAAGCTGGTAAGTGGGAGCTGGTTGTGGCCAGGGGCATGGCCTCACACTGGGTACCCCTGCCCCCAGCGGGCCCTGGCTGTGCACTGCTCCATTTCCTTTCCCCAGAGCCCTTTGCCCTCTGCCTTGCCCTTGGCTGCAAGGGGGTGTTGTACAGCACCTGTCAGGAGGGGGCCAAAGCACATGCCGGGCACCAGGGCCCTGTGTCCCTGTCATTCCCAGCGGGGCCAGCTGAGCAGGGGCTGCTGACGGGGATGAGCTGGTGGATGTGGGGAGGTCCCAGGGGTTTCCAGACCAGCTGTGTGTGGGAGAGGGTGGGGATGGCTCTGTGGCACTGTGGAGAAGGAGCCTGGGTAGGAGGAAGGGTGGCCCAAACATGGGAGAGGGCACCCAGCTTGGCCTTGGCATTCTGGGGCCAGCACAGAGGCTGGCCCAAGCTCAGCGTTGGGCCCCATCTGGGGGCTGCCAGGAGAAGCCCCTGGCGAACACAGCCCGGTCCCAGCCTCCTGAGCAGAGCTTCTCCTGTGTTTCCAGCAGGGCCAGGGGATCCTGGGGCAGCCACAGGTGCGCCCGATGGCCCCCACCCCATCCTATGGAGCCCTCCAGCCCTCCCAGGTGAGCATGGTGCTTCTTGGGGAGGTTACGACCTGCAGTGTGGGCAGGGCACAAGTTCTCGCTTCCCAGCCCAGAGCCAGCATCCCCTGGGGCCCTGTGTCCACGTGGTGTGAGCACCTGGGCAGGAGGGTGGTGCCCCCCATGAGAGCCCAGCACTGAGTGTGGTGGCCTCGTGCCCCAGGGTGGTGTGGCGGAGGCTACTGCCCCTACCTAACAGGACTTGCTCTCCCCATAGGGGTACACACCTTATGTCTCACACATCGGCCTCCAGCAGCACCCCTCACAGTCCGGCACCATGGTGCCACCTGCCTACTCCAACCCACCCTACCAGAACTCCCACCCTGGCTCGACCCCAGCCCTTGTGGACCCCATTCGCCAGATGCAGCAGAGGCCAAGTGGCTATGTGCACCAGCAGGCCCCTGGCTATGGGCACGCCCTGAGCAGCACGCAGAGGTACTCCCAGCCTGCCACCCCAGGTGTTGTCAGGGTCCCCAGGGAGCTTCCCATCATCTGCCCAGCAGCCCTTGCAGAGAGGGGCTGGGGGAAGCCTGCTTCCAAACCCAATGCTGTGGGGCTGCAGGGCTGGGCCTGGTTCCCTTGAGCTGATGTCCTTGTCCAGCTCCTTGTCAGTCTCCCATGGAAGGGGATGTGATGTCTAAAATCATAGCAAAGCAGTGCTGGAAGGGACTTCCAGAGGTCATCTAGTGGAAGGCGAGAGATGGGCGTAAGCCTAGGGACGAGGGGCAAGATGAACAGGGAACCATCGTGGATTTGGACCTGGCTGGCAGATTGTCCCTGGGGTGGGGCTTGGGGCTGGATCCTGCCAAAAGCCCCTGGAGGAGACGGGCAGTGCCCCTTCATTCCCCACTGGGCCAATGGATGCAACTGGGATTGGTCCTGAGGGGTGGGGCAGGGACCTGGGCTAGGCTGGTACAGGAACCCAGAGCAGCCTGCCTCAGGCGCTCCCAGCTGGGCAGGGTAGAGTGGCTGGTCCTGGTGCCTGGGGTTACCTGGAGCATGAAGCTGGGCCCAGCCTGGGGCTCCTTCCAGGGGCAGTCTCTGATCCCAGCCCCTCACTCCCTAGGTTTCCACACCAGTCACTGCAGCAGGCACCCATGATGGGCGGCATGAACCACATGAGCACACAAGGGGTCCCCACCGGGATCCGGCCCAGCCAGATGCTCCCCGACCAGCAGCAGCAGCAGCAGTACCTGAGGCAGCAGCAGCAGCAGATGCTGCGGGTGAGTGGGGCCCACTGCGCCATCCTTCCTTTCCTCATCACCGGGAAGCCAGATGTCGGGAAGGGGAAAGGGTAGGCTGCACATCCCCAGTGCCTTGCTGCACCTGCTAGGGACAGCTCTGGCACTCCTGCATGATCTTCTGAGTGCAAGTCTCCCCTCTGTTCCCTGCTGGAGCCCTGCTTGGTTGGTAGCAACCCCCGGTTATACAGAAGACAAGGGCAGGCAGGTAGGAAGGTCCCCCTCCCCCTCTCCCTGCCTTCCTGGTGCCACTGAGCTCTCGATGCTGGCAGGCCTGGCTCACAGATCAGTCCCACTGTGGCTGTTAACAGAACCCCGCCTGACAGGTACGTCCCTGCTGCAAGCATAGACAAGCCCTTGGTGTTGTTCAGCATGAAGTGTCCAGAGGAGGCCTTGGTGCAGCCTTCAGCACTGCCTTTGACAGCTGTCCCCAGCCAAGAGAGCCGGTGGCTGATGTGCCTTCTGCCATCCAGCCTGTGCATTCGCTCCCCTCAACGGTCTCTTTTGTAAGCTGTAGAGCAGCCAGTGCTGTATTCATCCTTGGAAAGCCATCCAATGTAGTTCTGGGTGCACAGGAGCTCACCAGGTGTGGCGGTGGAGAGGCACTCTCCTCCGGATTTTACAGGAGGCTCATGAATAATAGATGCATGGCCCAGATGGCACAGGGACGTTGGCATTAACACACCTGCTCCTTGAAGAGAAGCCCATGGAGAATTGCAGGGGAGCATTAAGTGAAAGAATGGACTTTCTGAGCTGTTGAGCTCCAGTGAGCTGTGGTCTCCACGTGCCATGAAGGAATGCAGGTCGTGGATGCCTCTGAACTCACTTGGGGGTTTTGTCCTTGCGCTGAAGTAGGTTCAGAATTCTCCCCACCAATGCTCTCAGTAGGCCCACTGGACTCTGGCTGTGGTGCCAGTGGCAGCACAGAGGCAAAATTGCTCTGTAGCTGGGGTCAAGCTGATGGACAGGGCAGGCAGTCTGGGCTATATGATGAGCACAGGACAAGATGGGCAGGGCCCCAAGGCCGCTGAGCTCAGATGGCAGCCGACTCTGGCAGTTCCAGAGTCTTGCTGTTCTGGGTGTCCCTGGCTCTTGTGCCAGCCAGGCCCTTCCGCCCAAAGAGCTTTCCTCCCTCCCTGCTGCTTGCACCCCATCTCTGCTGGTGCAGCTGGGAAAAGCAGTGGCATCGCCTGCAGCCACTGCGCAGGCTCTCCATCCTCCTAAATGTCCTGACAGCCCTTCATGTTGCTCCGAGTCAAGTCCCCTTTCCTTGCTGGAGGCGACCAAATGCCTGCAGCTTTCCAGAGAGGACTTTCCATAACCTGCACCATGGCAGCCCCAGCCCTGTTTCTGGTGGAGATGGCCAACACCCCCCGGCTCGGGGTTCCCTGAGATTAGCCAGCGCCCAAGCTTCCTCCTCTGGCCTTAACCAGCTGCCCCTACCCAGCCGCATGGGTTCTGGTCACTCCCTGTCTCAGAGACCTAGTGCTTCACGGAGCTCATGTCACAGCTGTGTTGGCCCTGCTGCAGCCTCCCTGGGACTCGGCAAGCATCAGGTGGGCTTCTGAGGCCACAGGCAGCCCCCCGCCGCAGGTGGTGGCAGGTCTTCCCCCAAGCATGCTCCAGGTCCGCTGTCCTGCAGGGTGCCCTGACAGTCCCTGGGCTTCTGTCTTTGCAGCAGCAGCAACAGG